AACATCTGGTTAGTTTTACTTCATGGTGTTGTATTCAAATCATTTTGTTTTCTTTCATTTAAAAGCATATTTGAACATAAAAATCTCAAATATGTGAATTATACAGTTCTTTTGTTTCCTTGACACCTTCAAAATTTCAAGATCTTCTTAAAACAGCGGAGTCTTACAACGATCTGTTACGAAACAGTATTTAAACAGCAAAGGCTTATCATTTCGATCCATAATAAATGCCGGTGATATTTTACAAGTTTCATCATATCCTTTAAAAATGAAGTGTTAGTCTAAAATGTTATAATTTCTTCTTTTTAAGAATAGCAATACGCATATATTTAAATGTTGAATAACGTTTCCGAAAAATCTGAAGATTCAGGCAATATTAGCTTGATATTATTTTAAAATTGCTATATTCATATGTTACAGTACATTTCAAACATAGCACAAGAATAAAATTTCAGGTACGTTTTTGACTTTAATATTTCCTACGTTTTCTAGAATATTTATATTAATAAAAATAAAACATGATAATTGTTTTAATTTTTGGCTCCATGCGTTAAGGATATTGTTTGTTTCAAAACAGGATTAATACAAGGTTAAATGTATTGGCTATTCAGAGATTAATAATGGTAATGCAGATGAAAAATTAAATACGATTTGAATTAAAATTTAATTTTATGTACTTCCCACTGTAGTACTACAATAATCGTAAATAGCTATAAAATTTCTATTTTTATGTTTTCTAAATGAAGTGGTAAAGAAGAACGCCGTTAAAAAGAGCTATGTTTCTTCTTTTTCCATTTTACGAAATGATTAAAGTACATATACATTTGCATTACATTTTTAATAGTTAACACCTTTCTGCTATCCTTGGGATGATCTTTCCAGGAACATCTTGGTTTATGGTACAAATCTGTTGTACGGTCCTGCATTTTCGCTATATGTGACGCTAACTGAATTTGAATATAATTATTACATATAAAATTCTCTGTAATTGATCTAAATTATCAAAATTTATAATTAAATCAAAATGTTTCAAAAATTTTAAATGATTTTTAGAAAGTTAAATAACATAAAAATCATAAAATTAAAAAGAATTTGCATTCTGAACTTAATATGCAGTCAATTAAAAGTTTGAAACAGTTTTAACTAAGCAGTTATCGTATCCTACTAGTTTAAGAATTAGACCCCTAGAAATTAAAGATATAAAGCTTAAAAATATTTTAAGACGTAGCTGCACATTTGTCAAATTTTTTCCGCACCAGGTTTTTTTTTTAAATTATGTGCTCCGCCGTTAAGTATCTACACGGAAAGGAGAGATGCGCGGAGGAGGACGTTTCAAGTTAAACTGGCTAGTATCCAATACACATAAGAGAAACCACGGAAACGCCCATGCAGCCAGTGCGTTTGCTAGGACTCGAACCGAACTACCACTGTTCAGCAGTTTTACCGTTCGCCCGCTGGTTTGACAGTTCATTCTATTTCGCAGTATGCAAAATCCATGAATTGAAAATAATAAACATCTCAAAAACGTTTATTCGCTGTAGTTAATAAAATATCCGTATAAATTTCTTAGCTGCAGCAAGAAACACTATTTCGTGTCGTAGTGCAAATTTTTGACCAAAATTATTGAAAACTAGCTTGTTTATATTTCAGGCCTATATTAATTTGTGTTTCCAGTGACTATTGTTTCCTTACTAAGTGATTCAATATTAATTTTCGGTACTTACGGAAAATCCCATCGACCATTTTTCCTATTAAAGAAAAAACACAAAATTATGCGACTTTGCGCGAAAAATGGAAAAGTCTTCTTTAGACATGCTGGGTTTAGTGTAACCTTGATTACACGTATTAGGTATTATTCTTGAGTAAAGACTCCTTTTTTTCCCTCTATCACGCATTTTCGGAAAAAAAATTTAAAAAATTAAAACTTGGGACCTGCCTACTACAGAAGAGCATGCTGTTGAATAGCGAAAAAAAGTATTTCGCGAGACATATTTTCTCTTGAAAATTAAAACCTAGCGAAAATAATTGCTTTTACAGTATATCTCCTTAATAAAAAATAATGGAAATTTTTAATGAAAAATTAAATACAAATAAATGATAATATAATAAATTTGAAAGAAAAATAAGAATAGAATGTTTTTTTCCTTATAGTAAATGGGTAATTTTTGGTTTAGAGCAATTGGCGCCGTCTCATTTTGTCGACGGGATTTTCCGTAAGTACCTAATTTTCTCTCAGTCCGATGAATTCAGGAACTTGATAATGCTTCTATTGGCTCTCTGAGCATAAGGAGATTTGAAAGTGATTTTATTATACGTAGAACTTATTCGAGTCCAAAACTATGATGCTAGGTAATATGTTAGTAACAGATTAGGAGTAGTTTACTGCTGATTTTTTCCTTATATGCATTAGTCATCTAAAAACGTGTTTTCCTCTAAAAAAATTAGAAACCAGAATTTCCGAAAATTTAATTAATTTTTCTCTTTTATCATTATAAAACTAAGATTTTTTATTAAAAATTAAAATATATAAATTCCAGTTTAAATTCATAAAACATTATTATTTTTAATATCTTTGTCATTATGTGTTTAACATTTCAGCGGTTAGCACTAACCTAATTGTGAATATAATGTTGATGAGTCGAGCACATACGTAGATCGGTCAAGAATTGTACTAAAAATTGAAGTTCTCTTATCAGTGGCTATTCTTGCCCACTTTTCATCATTTCTGCTTGAAATAAATTTTTGAAAATCATATTTTTATCGTTTATAACAGATTCTTTAAACTCTTCGTTTCTCATTTTGAGATAAATGTATAACATTTTATTGAAATCTCTTTCTTTGAGACCTCGGTGCAGAATATTGAAATTTAAATTTTAAACCATTTTATTGGCAGCAGTATAATACGCGCAATCCGCAACTTAAAAGTTAACAAGTATTGTAATCTTGGCATTTTAAACACTGTAAGACTGGCATTCAAACGGTCCGTAGATACTCTACGGACGTGCAAATGAAAGATAATGTGATTCGACCTCAGGCCTGATATATGGACTTTGAAGAGTTTCTGTAATGCCTGCCTTATCCTAAGATTTACAGTGACTGTTACGATTGTCTAAGTAATTTTATGCGTCATGTTGAATGTTCATGATAGTTTTCATGCATATATTATCTCAAGATTCATGACTGAGTCGAGCTACTATATTCGAAATTTGAATAGAATAAGAGTTCAGATAAAAGATTTAAATAGGAAGTTGGTAGTTTATTTTTTTTTGGGGGGGGAGGGAAGAGATAGAGAGAAAATATGTATGGAAAAATGGTAAGGAATTTGTAAATTTGTAAGCATGATGCCAACTTCATTTGATTCCAGTCTAGGTCTCAAAACTGTAGCGGTGATTTTGCAATCTTAAACGTTTCACTGTATTTTGAGGATAAAAAGTTTCTAAGACTTTTATAAACTGAAAACTTCTTGTTTTCTGAACTGTTCTGAATTGTATGCAATTCTGCAAATTTTAAAGAAACTCCTTAATATGAATTAAGTTTGAACTAGTGTAAGATATGGAAAGTTTATCTTGTATTATTAGGAACAGAATATCCTTTGACAAATATCCTTAAAGCTTTCATTAGTAATATTAGATCTAAATTTTTATTAACAGAAAAGTACGACGCTCGAGAAACAGTTCTCTAATTTGTGTCTACTTAGCGCAGGACCTAATTTGCCGCCATCATGACTTTGTTAAGACCCCAAACAGGACGCGCTTAATCCCAATCATGCAAAACAGCTTAAAATCCCCCTTTAAATCCCAGTGTCGCGGAGCACTCTAATAGAATACGCATGCCCGTTGAGCTCTGCAAGCTGCTTCGACAGAAAGAGGGGTTTGGGGATCTACCCAGATTTAGATAGTGCACTAGGAACACGTTCCCTGGATCTGGTTTATCCGTGAGGGGCTAGCAGTTCACTCACTCTGCTTGAAAAGTAGAAGATGCGAGAGAAAAACCTATTCCAGAATGTTTCCAACTAGAGCTGAGAATTTACATTCGGGTCACGTTTTGACAAGTTTTTTCCTTCAGTTTTGTGTTTTTGTTTCCATATTAAAGTACACTTGCGGCTGGCAGCTGAAATAATCATGTTTGCTGATACCGCTGTTTGTCCACATCACACATATTCGAACTGTAACGCTGAAACAAGATTTGAGTTTCTGAAACGGAATACGAGTGTATTAGACTGGTGAGATATCTATAAACTCTATACGAATTTAAATTCATTCACATCGAGAATCGGTTTTTGAATCCTTGAGTGTATTTAGAATAAGAGAAATCGATATCTGAAAAGTATACATAAAAGACATTTTTCTAGACTATAAATTGCTGGTTTGTTGTTTCTAAAAGTTATACTTTTGCTTTTACCAAGTTAGAAATTATTGTATAATTAAAAATGAAAATAGTCCGACTAACTACAATTATCTAGGTTACCTTCTTTTGCTTAAAGTGAAAATTAGAAATATCTGAAAAATATTTCCATTTTAGTAATTTTAACAATTAAATAAATTCAAAGGTCCAATCAAATCTGTGCTTGTATTTGGAAATATAGAGCACTGCATTACGTTTATTTAAAGATTTAAGTTTTTTCTTTAATACAATGGCGAATTTAAAATTCGTTCGCTATTTCAGTAGATATATTATATATGTATATAAATACATATAACGGATAATTTTAAACGCCCTTTCGTTAATATAACGACGAAATATAACGTATGAGTTTTACATTTTCATACTTTTGACAAACAGGAAACGTAAAATATAGTCATCGATAAACAATCACTAAAAAATCTTTACTTTTCGTCCAATGATGAGAATTCTATATGTTAATAAATATATAGTTTCTCAGATGCATATTTTCTCATTTTGTGTATTTTGATGGAAAAAGTAGACTAATACTACTTTTTTCCTTATAAATTAAAAAAATATGTTATTCAAACCTCTAATGGCCAATAAATTTTTTGCAGGAATGAAGAACCTGTTACCTCAAATATGGACATATCAACTGGACATATGATTCTGGTAATTTAACTTTTAAGTTAATTATCTATGTAGAATTTCTTCATTCAATAATTCAGAGATGTGCTGTTTTATAAGGCATCGGAACTCCACTTAACAAAAATGTCGCTTTACTCGAGGTTATCTTGTAATTGTAAAATAAAATACATTTCTTATAATTCTTACTCGCGTTTCCGTGCAGGAAATATAGATGAGATGTTGTTCTCAGTGGCATTGAAAAATTTTGTTCATGTTGAACTGCGTTGGTGACTCCAAATATACTTCAGAATGTGTGGCGGGAAATGGACTATTGCTTGAATGTTGCACGTGTTCCCAAAGGGGAGTCATTTATAAAGTATGCAAACAAAATTTTGCGCTTACGTTTATATTATGTGTAATTCTTACCGATATGTTTTTCAATTAAATAGTTATAGTCCTTTCTAATCGCTATATTCATTTTGAATATGTCTGTATTTTTAAGTTCTGTTATCAGTTGATTCACAATTTAAACAACATCTTTCCTTGACTCCCATCACAAATATTTGTTCATACCAGATTTATATATGTAAATCTAAGCCATGCACAAGACAGTTAAATTATGTTTGAAAATTAGCTACGTCTTATTTTGCTTTAGAACTTGCGCTGTTTTTGTTCCACATAGTCGGTGTGGAAGTCATTACGTTCCACATACGTCTTGGGTTAAGTAAACCTTTTTCTAGTAGTTAATTAGGAAGTTTAAGTCAAAATGTCTTTTTACAATCTATAGCTGTGAGAGACAGATCGTCTGATTATTAAAGGTTAGTGTCGGTAAAGATCGAAATTTTGAAAATGTTAATAGGCAAAAATCGACCTTTCATTGTATACAGCTATTAATTGTAAACCATAAAGGTCAAATAAAATGTTGTTAAAGTTTGTTTAGTCTTTTTACTAACAAACATTTTACTTGTTTCTAGTCAGAATGCTCGATTTCTGATTTTTGAAGTACTTTACTAGCTCTTGGCTGAATGTCTAAACTAGGATTAAAAGCCCATTGAAAACAAATAGGTAAAGAAGCCAAAAATATCCTTGAAACAAAAATAAGTTTCTTTAGTTTTTTTACCTAATTTTCCCGGTATTTTTTCGTGGTTTCTACTCTCAGAGCGTTCAAAAGCTTTTGAAGCAAAGAAAATTGATCTTTGTAGTTCCTGTAATGCAGATGTTTAATAATGTAAAAAAAAATTCAAAGTTAGGCATTATCTTTAAGTAAAGCGGGAAAATTTTGCCTAATGCACAAACGCATCATTGATAACGAAAACTAATTTTAAAGAGAAACATTAGATTAATATTTATAATAGTTATTATATTTCATAATTTAAAATAAATGGAAAGTTGATGATATATACTCATGATATAGTGATTCCCTGGTCACCATTATTACTAACCACTTTTATCGGGTTACCATTTTAATCTGGTAAAGTATATATATTAGCACAAAAATTGGCATAAAAGAAGTGAAACGTGCTGCATTATTGTTTTAGAGATCAGAAAATAGATTTTTCAACTGAGAATACGAAAATGATTTTTTTGACTTCGGTATCCAAAAAAGGAAGTTTTTAAATTAGGATGTGAAACATTATTTCAATTATTCCTTATTTCAATAATTTGTAATGTAATTTGAGTCAATGTATTTATTTTGAAAACATCAATGAACTTACCAACATAATAGCCTCTGTGTACTCACCCTATTTATAATTAATTTATTTTAATAATATGTTTTTAAACTCCGTTAGAACACACGCGGGATCAAATTACCTCAAATCACAAAGGATCTGATGGATTAGTTAAAAAGGAAAGATTCTTGCTAAAAGGATTATGTCGCTTCTAGTTTTCTCTCTCATTCTGTTTTGTGCTTGACTATGGAAATTTTTCTAAACTGAAGCATACAGGCTTTAAATGCTCTTTAATATGATATTTTGATAAAGAGATAAAAATTCGGAAACTGCTTCAAAATGCTTAGATAATGAGAAACGAGAGAAAATAAACGTATTTTCCTTAAAGTTTATTTTTTCTGTTGCGTATATAGCGTAGAATTCAGCCTTCAATTACGTTTAAGCTGTATAAATGTGATTTTCGTAGTTTGTTTTACATGTTTAATGTAAATTTATGTGCAATTTTAATTTTTCGGTCAACGGCCTTTACTTAAATATTAAAAAACTGCAATTAAAAAAATCGTATCATCAATTTACAAAACATTTTTCGTTGATAACAAAGATGTATATAAAGATATAAGAAATAATATTCCGAATATGATTTATATTTTGCTATTTAAAACCCCATAAAAAAGCAAATTCACGGTAGTTTCAAAACACTATGCTGATATATTTTCTGGTTTAGTAGGGATAGAAAAAACTGCGAAACAAATAATGTACTTAGCTGGTAATTGGTTGTTAATGGGTTCATGGAGATTTAGTTTTCAAAAACAGTCAACATCAACTTTTGATAGAACAACAAAACTAACCATTTCTATTTAAAAGAAAGTAAATTTAATAAATAACAAAACCTCGTATTTTCAGACCTTGCTGCTTTTAACAATTACATTCACCGTCATTCAGGTACAAATTATTAAGCTCAGTAATATGCTAATTTGCAACAGCAATAGGCAATAGGCTATTATACGCCATTAATAGTACCGAAAAAGAAGTTATTTCAACAGAAGACGTTAGCAAATTCGTATTAGTTTTTTCTTTCAAGAAAAAACAAGCTCATACAACTGGCAGCATCCATTTTATAAAAAGCGAATTTTTATAAGTGCACCGGTTACATTTTTTCTTTCTCATGCGAAGTGAAAGAAGTATTCTAATCGCGAAAATTTTTGATTATCAGATTTTAACGGAATTATTCATTTCGACCATTTCCGAATTCATTTTGTATATTTTTGAGTGACGTCTGTACACACAAGTAGAATAAAATACTCTTTATTCCAAAATGGATTCACTTTAGATTTAAAATCGATTTTATCGTGACGTTTTGTACGTAGGTATGTATGTATCTCGCATACCTCAAGCCGTTCAGCGTTGAAATTTTTTATATGAGATTGCTATTACATTTAGCTGTGTGCTTCCCTTTTTTATTGCAATCAGCTGTACCAAAGGGTATATATATATATATATATATATATATATATAAAGACCAGGTAAGGACTTCCCAGCCGGTTTAGGGAGATGCGTACAGTCCTTACCCGGCCTTTATTTTCGCAATCGTTGGTCGTAGTCATATTTTTCGAGTTAGACAAGTGTTTAAATGACAAAATCTTTTTAATAAATGGAATTAGATGAACTTTACATACATAACAAAATATTTCAATTAAATTTCATCTCAATGAAATATCCTGGTGAATTAAGGAAAATTTGCTTAGAAATTTCTTGCTTTTAAATTTTAAAAAACTCAGCTTGTAGAGTCATTAGATTTTTCCGAAGCAGGAGACGTGAAAAATATGCAATGCCCTCGCCGGGACTCGAACCCTGGACCTGTATTAACATGTATGTAATTACAGTATGCTTGCAATTACACCACGAAATTTTATATATTAATAATAAACATCGATTTACATTTACATACTAGCTAGCATTTAAAATTCCTCGGCCATTAATAAAAACAAATTAACGAATATTTTTGTTATTACGACAATAATTTAGACTATTTGTTTATTTTCATTAATTGGTAGTATTCTATTTTTTATTATAACTCGATCCTCTTTATTTGATAAGTGTAGAAATAAATAACAAATAACTTATTTACTTGGCGTGTTTCTCCCCCTCGCGTACGTTTCCCCCAAATTCTTTCATAATTTATGTACATACCTTCATATATCGTGATAATAATAATATTGAAAGGTAATATCTAGAATGCGCCTAGGCATTGAATCTGCTAGTCTTGCGTGTATAGTTTTTGACTTCTTTATCATAGAACCACATTTTTATAGCATTATTAATCATGATCTCTTTTTCCATGTGTCCATTTTGCTAAGCTGTTGAGTATGTATTACAGATTTTGATCGGATTGAAGTCGGGTAGATTTCTAGGTCAATCTAGCACAATAATTTTATATTCCAGCATGAACATTCTGACTATTTTGAATTGTGACATGGAGTCATGTTGAAATATCCCTGCAGACATTTTTAAGATAATAGTGCAAAGCGATGTTTTAAAATTTCTATATACTTCGATAAATACATTATTTCATCAATAGGAACTAGATTTTCAATACCATCTACAGTTCAAAAACTATAAAAAAAATAAAAAAAAAAAAATAAATAAATAAAAAAAAAAAACCATTTTCTGAGTGGGTTTTACGGTGTGTTGAATACGATGAGGCCTCACTGATTCACCCTTGCTTAGTTTAACATTTGAGTAATCATTAACAAATGAATGAGACTAATCGCTGAAAATAAAATTTTTCCTGTCATTTATGACCCAAGATTTGTATTTTTTGGGGGGAGGGGTTCACAATAATCGATTTTGCTTCATTTGAGATGCCAAAATTTTTTTTAATTGGCTTGCTCCCCTTCGGACTAGCAGTGAGAAGTCTACTTATCCTTCCAAATTTGTACTTCCTTTCTGGAGGAAATGATTCAGTTTCATGTGTCTCGTCAGAATTCGAGAAATGCTTGATTTTCCAACACCAGTCGCCGAAGGAATATTTCTTATAGTCATTTATGTGTGACTGTTAACTGCTATAATTTGTGCTCTCTTTCTATGCGTTATATCTATTTTCAGCACCCAAAAGTGGACGAATGCAAAACATATTTAAATAAAAAATCTGTTGTGTACACCACATGACTTCCTTGTACGAAATATTAAATTATACGCGTTTTTCTGCGTTTCATTTAAACTTTATTTCCTCGAATTTCTTTAAAGATATATTTCTCATTCAATTAATTCAGTTCTCACTTGGCGACAAGGCAAAAATACATAATATTTTTATTAAAAATTTAAAAATATAAAACATGAATATAGTTAAAACAATTTAAAGAGCAATTTTTACAA